ATCGCATTTGGAGTTGTTACAGGAGTCTTATTAAAAAAAAACCTTTGAATTTGTTTATTTGAGAACTTTAACGAAATTTTTGTGGAAAAGATTTCTGTAACACCCCGATTTAGAAGTTTGCAGTTTTGCGGTCATTGTGCTAAGCTAAGACACGAACCACGATGTCATCAACGATTCATCAATTAGTGAATACCTAATCCAGTTGCTTGAAAACTGTGGAGGGCTGGGACTTATTAAATAAATAAAATAAATATTTTGGCAATAATTAGATCGTAACAGTAAATTATTGAAATTTGAATGAAAGATCATAAAATTGTATGAGTGTTTTAAATGTATTTATGAAATTTTAAAGGTTGAACAAAACTTTTTTTTAATTTTCAACCTGTTATATTTCAAAAACCAATTCATAAAAAATCCAAAATATTTATTTTACTTTGATCGCCTGCGGTGAAAACACAACAAAGAAAATCGCTTTTTTCTCACAATGAAATTTTAATTTATTTGTGTAAATCTTATTTTTGTAGAACCTAATTTGCTGCGCTGCCGATGTGCTGGAGGGAAAAGGTGCCGTCCAAGTGGCCATCACGGTGGGAGAACTTTTTCGGCTTCATGGAAATGGTGGCTGCGGCAGTGGCAACAGCAGTGGAGCTGCCACGCCCACCAAGTCGCCCACCAGAACGACACGTGCCACAATGTCGCCAACGCCATTGGCTTAGGACCGGTGCCAAAGGGGAGATGGATGAGGAATCGGAACGCTTGGATATTTCGCTCATTTCGGGATGAGTTGGCAAAATGGGTTTCCTAATGGCCGCCATATACATTTACACTTACATAAAATACATGCCAAATGTATGATTTGTTGATATTCTTATCTCACTCATTTTTCTAGGTTTGTAGTTCATTTATGTAAATACACAACACCCACAAGGAACACTTAAAGAAACCAAAATACCAAGAACACAAAACAATCGAACATGTATCGAAACAAATCACACAAGTCACGAATTATGTATCTATGCGAACCTTTTGTTTTGTGCAATTGTTTAGAGTTAGTTATATATGTGCTATAAATCGCCAGTTTGTTTTTTGTTACACTTTCCTTATCACACCCATACGAGCGATAATCGGGCCAAATTTCGACTAGCGATTAATTGCATATTGAATACTGTTTTAAGTATGAATCACATATGAACATCCAAATATTTAGATATTTATCGAATTATTATTATGGCATATTTATTATGTAGCTTAGCTGTAGATCTACGAGTAACTGTGGTAAAACTTTTCTACCGGCGCTGCATCATTTCTACGAATCGAATTGTATTAGACCCCTAAGTCTTGGATTATACACATATTATATATCAAATAAAAGCGGAGAAATATTGTCATACGTAAAAACTATTTGCGTTTTTAATCTGTGAACAATTTCCGTTCGCTCGCTTCGCTCGGCAAAAATTGGTGAAAAATGTCAACAGCTGTGGCCCAACGAAATATGGCGTAAAAATCCTAAAAGTTTTCTTTTGTAGTTTCATAATTTGCATAATGCGCCAAACAAACAATTGACTTTTTTCGGGGATCGGGAGGGGCAAGCGGAACCAAAACTGCTGAAGCGAAAATTAAAAACACTCGACACATCCGCCAGTTCTTTTTAACAGCTGCTCCCTTGCCAAGTAATTTTTGGTAAGTAAAATGTGCGGTTAGTTAACTGCAGAAAAACAAAGAGGAATTGTCAGGATGAGCATTACTTGATTCTACATTTATCTTTATTAATTTTATTACAATTTTTTTAAATTATGAAATGTTTATTATAATTTTGTTTCTAGTAATAATACTACGGAGTTCAAAAAACGTTTCTTTTCTTTCAGAAAAACATTCAAAATTAAGGGTTCCTTAATGAACCCTTCCTCATCAATTAGTCAGAACATAACCTAAGCATAACCCATTACTAATTAATGCCTACGGCTGGAAACAAGGACACAGGAAAAATATATAAGCATAGTAAATAAATAGAGAGGCTCCAAGTCATTTATCACTGTGAAATTTATTAAAATGATTATCTCGTATCTACATTTCGCACGGAATGCCTAATTTTTTCTAGGACAGCAAAACACGCGCCTTCTAACTTTCCGTTTCTACATGGCTTTGTTTTTTTGTGGTTTTCCATTAGGGGTACTCCAGCAGTTTTTGTCATTTTGAGTCACTGATAAGAAAAGCGGTCCCAAAAAGTGCGTAGGTGCACTAAGAAAAAATATGGCTGAAACTAATTTTGAAATCATAAATTTATTTAGTTGACATAGAAAATTGTCGATTTTTCATTTATGAATTTTTTATTTATTCAATAATTACCAATGTATTAAGCCTTTTCTGGCTACAAGTAACTAGCTTAAATTTTTTTCTAAATATTATTTAATATTTAAAGTTTCCTTAACTTATTCCTTATGTTTTTTGTTATTTTTTGTTAAGTCGTCGAATTACTTTTTGAATTTTAAAATGTAATTATCTAAATGTAATGTCTTATACCGAAATAAATGTATGTTGAACTGAAAGAATATAAAAATTAATTTTAGAGATAAAAATGGTTAGGAAATGCAAAAAAATATCGGAATTAAATTGGAGAGTTTCTATATCTTTTTAGATTTTTCTAGAATTAGAAATATTTTTTTCCAAATTCTGAAAATATTAGTTTGAAAGTCTTATGGTTTTTTTTCTTTCAATGCCATGGGCGGACCTCTTGGGGTCCTTCAGTTGGGGCCATAGTTTAATTGTGACATCTGAACAACTCCACAGCCCCGCCACTAGAATACCGCCTCAAGGGAGGGCAATTAGTTGAACTGCGCCCTGGGGAATTGCGATAATTAAAATGCTTCTGCTTCTGCTGCTGCTGCTACATGCGGAAATATTTTTTAACCAACTAATCTGATTGCTCCTATATCAACTCCGTCGGCTTGGTGTGCTCTTGTGCGTTTGCCCATAGTCCTTTTGTGGAATCGTTTCAGAATCAACATTTGCATTCAATTCGATGGCAAAAGGCACTTTAATTTATTTACCCCCATTGAAAGTCATTTCATTCTAATCCTATTAATTCAAATTCCAATTCAAACACTTTTACCGCATCAAATAGAATTGCTTTTTGGACGCCGACGGGTAGAAATGTTTGGCTGTTCTTTTGTGTGGCGAAAAAAAGTGAATTGCATTGTTTTTACAACGCAGAAAATATTTTATTTTTAGCAAAGGGATGGCGAATCAACTTTTGTGCTCTCAAAAGGACTCCGGTACTCCCACCTTGATGCAATCAAAAAGCCAAACTAGAAAACCCAATCAAGGCGACAGCTTTGACCGAATGAAGTTTGCGAGTGTTTGATTTCGATTAATACTCTTACAGTCCAAGATGAATGAAGGAAAATTTAGTTAAAGAAAACATAGGTATTGTTTGCTAAAGAGTTAGGTGCTTTACAAATTTAATAAACTTATATTTTATTACTTTAAAATGTAGGTTACTGATTTATCCTTCAATGAATATTATACTAAATGACTGGCTGAATAAAATCATGTAACGTAACTCTATTTATTCATATAAATTATTCAGTTATAAGTTGAATTATTTGAAATGAAAAACAGCAATCCTTTAATTTTATTCAATCTGAATATTGCCCTTAATGCCGCTAAAAACTCCGCCTGGCCCGACCTTAATTAAATGCATTTCAACATCACCAGCATTATAATGAAGATGAATTTTTGTAGATTGTGTATTTTTCCAGTTCGTGTAGCAATTTCTTGCTGAAATTTGTTTGGCCAAAGTTCCAACTGAGTTGATTTTTCCGTTTTCATTACGCCTCGGGCAAAAGTGTAGGCAAAATTTAAATAATACCAAAATTATGTGAGAACGAAGCTTTAAGATTCCGTTTTTTTGGGCCCAGGGCCCCCATTAAATATGCAGTAGATTCTAAAACACGTATCATCCTCTGATGCCGCCGCAGTTTCGCACTTTCGTTGCGCTAAATGAGTTTCAGCTGCAAAATTAAAAACTTTATCAGAAGCACCAGCAGAGGTGTACGTATATATATGTGGGGGGAAAAAAAAAACTTGAAACTTTTTCATGAAGTTAAAGCAAAGTAAAATCAAATTATTGTGGTTGCTAGCAGGCTGGCAAAAGGATTACGCGATGGTGGCGGTTCTACGCCTTACCGCCTGCCACGCCCCCCGCCTTTCCGCCCTATTTTCCAACCCATAACCCAGTCCAGTTTTCCCCACCCACATCCACCTGTAATACAACATGCCGGCATTGCATTTTCGGAGAGCAGACAGACAGAGGGACGCCGACTCCATAGCCAGACAGTTAGACTCGCCTGGCTGCCTGTTCACATGAAGTTGGCGCATTCTAATTGAATTTTCACTTTTTTCTCGCTCCCCGCAGCCCGCCTTTTCCCGCTTTCCCCGGTTTTCCCGGGGCTTTCCCCGCGCTCACCTGTGCGACTACGTGACGATGGCCTGGCACAGAAATTGAAATAATTATTTTTAATCTTAAGTACGACTTGCACGTAATGAGATTTGGATTATCTCAGCACCCTTTTTTTTCATCTCCCCCCTAGACTTATGAAAAAAGAAACTGATTACTATGAGACGCATAAAAAATGTGTGTGAAAAGGATATAAATTCATGCCGAATGTGGAAAAGCTTTTTGGTTGTCTGAAGAATGAACTTTTTGGTTCTTAATAGAGGACTATGGTTTTCATAGTTAAGTTAATAAGGCAAGTAAAAATCAATGAAAATATAGGGCTCAAAATCATCTAATTCTTTCTAAACATATTTTGTTCAAATATTATACAATACATCTTAATTTATATATAACTTGTAATATTTTCTTGTATATAGGTAAGAAAAAATTGATTACGACTTAGGAACCATTTTATAAAATTAGAAAACTTATTTTTATTCATTCATTTTTTTATTCATTCCAAAATTTTAATTTCCTTTTAAAAACATTTTGATTTTTAAAATTTTGAATTTGTTTTTTCAATTTCTATCTTTTCTATTTCTTTCCATGGCTACCGCCGAAGGACGTCTTCCACAATTTCTGCACCGCGATCGACAATCTCTGCAGAAACCAAAATAATCCCTGGGCGACAGATCTTTCTGGGCTTGCAACCGTTGAGTACTTCTCTTACCACCCTCGCTGGCAGCATCGAAACTTTCAGATGATAGTGAAACTGAATCCATCGCCCAATCGCTATCACTGCCATCGTATTTTCCTTCGACAAAATCGAGTAATTTTAAGGCAGTTTGTAGACGACGATTCTTTTTTATATCGACAGTTTCTTGAGAGGTTCCAGGTTCCTGAGACTTTTCATCACATTCTTCTTCAGGAAGATCCTCTTGTTCTATTTTACAAGGTTGTGACTTCTTCTTCTGTGGTCTAGTAAAATTTTCAGCAGATTTAATATCTTTCATTTTGTGTTTTAGAACATGTTTTCTTGTTTCGGAAGTTTCTTTCTTAGTTTTTAATACCTCTTGAATATGTACCTTCTTTTTGGTGGAACTAATAGTTTTAGTAGTTTTTTCAACCTTTTGCTTAGCTTTTAAATGTTCTTTCTTAATTGCTGTGGAGCCCATCTTAGTTTGCAAGTTCTTGTGGACATGCCTCTTCCTTTTGGTGGGTTCACCCAATTTAGAAGTAGCTTCTAAGGCCGATTGCACTCGATCTACTTCATACTGGCTCAAATCGCAATAACTTTTCAATGGTAACAAATCCAGTTTTGGAGTATAGGAACGTTTGCGTTTGCCTAAAAGTGCACTGCCATTATTATGTTCATTGATGCGGCCTTCATTTTCTGCCATAATCAAGAGTATTTACTTTCTTTTCGACTTTATGAAAATCTTACGCTATTTCCGATTTTGATTTTGTATGGAATAAATCAGGGACTGAACACTGGAACTTGATTCCTTTTTGATTTCCCTGACTTGGCCTACGTTGGTGCATAAATTGGCAGCAGGCGGAAAAACTTTTACCACCCACGGCCCACGCAAATATTGCATTTTCATTAAGTTAAAGTTTGGTTTTTAGTTTAATTTTTTCGTACCCTTTGCGGCTTTCCCCTCTCCGTTTACTTAAAAACTTTTTGCGGCAAGTTTTTTGGCCCAAAGTTTGCATGTGCCTGTCAGTCGGTGTGTGTATATGTGTGGCTGAAGGATTATGTGTGTGTGAGTGTGTGTGAGCGCGTGTAAAAATCATGTGCGCAGTCAAAGCAAAATGACGATAGCACTGACGATCCGCCTAAAAACTTTTGACGGGCCAACTTGCTTTGGGCCAAGTTTCAAGCTGCCAACTACAGCAACGTCTCCTCTCAGCAATCTCTGTCTGCCAATAAGCTTAAGTCAGTAGGGTTGATTAGGACAAGTGCGTGGGCCAAGAGGATTTTACAAGAAATTAATTTGTGGCATATCAAATTTAACAAATTTCGGGAGAATTATTATACCTTAAACAAGTCATTATAAATGTGGGCACTAGGTGCATTTTTAGCGTTATGTGCTTTTGAGGGCGTTCGAGTGGGCGTGACACCGTTAAAATAAACTTGAGCTGCGCAAGAATCTCTAGAATCTGCACGCCAAATTCAACTTTCTAGCTTTTATAATTTCCAAGAACTCATCGTTCATACGGACGGACAAATAGTGATCCTGATAAAGAATGTATTTAATTTATAGGGTCGGGAACGCTTTTTTTTACCTGTTTAATACTTTTCTAAGAATCTAGTATACCCTTTTACTCTACGAGTAATGGGTATAAAAAGAGAAAAATATTTAGAAAGTTCAATTTGAGAATTTAAGTTAAATTGTTTAAGATGTTTTAGAATGGATATTTTATTTACAACTTTAAAAAAATAAAATTATGTCTATATTATGCAAAACCTGGAAACTGAATGTCTATTTTTTAATATAACGATTTATTATTTGAGATTCCTCAAATTTTCGATATAAATTCAGTAAGCCAAAAGCTCTGATCTAACCAAAAAGGCAACGAATCACTTCTTCATTCAATTCTTTAAGTCAATTCCCATCTTCAATCGGTTTATTTAATTATTTCCCCCAACTCTCTAGTAAAAATCTCAAATTTCCGTTCATTCGCCGACTTTGTGGCCCCATAACAATAACAAAACGTGGAGGAGAGAAAAATTTTAATAAAACTCAAAGTCAAACTGAAAACCATTTTCACACTTGGACGATCGTTTACAATAACTAAAAATTCTATCACCGCACTTTTCACACTTCCTTTTGTATGCTTTTTTTTGTGCTTTGTGTCAAATTGAAATGAATAAAATATTGGCTGCCTAACCGGCGACATTCGAAAAGGGAGGACAGCCATCATCATTTTTTTAATAAACTTCGCTCAGTTCATGAAAAATCCTTTGGAACGGGGAATATTGTCCATAAAATGAAATTGATTTTTTTGTGTGTATATTAATAGTTGGTCCATTGCAGTTTCCGCTAAAATATTCCTTTGTACTTTTTTAGCTTTGATTTTTTGCTGGCTTGGCTGCATTTCTTTATTTTTAGATTTCAATATTTTATGTGTGAAAAATAAATTAAATGCAATTATTACGTAAATGCTGTTGTTTTTCTCTTCTCCCTTCAACTATTATTTGTGTTTTTAACAAGGTTTTGGATTTAAATTAAGTATATGATGCGGATAATGTTAATCTTCATTAAGAAGAATAAACTATAGTATTTAAAGCTATTCATAATAATTAAAAAACGTAATGCTTTGTTCATCCATCCTTCTGTTGTCTTTAATATTTTTCAGTTCATACCTAAATTATTACGAATAAATTATAGTATTTCAAGATATTTATATTAATTTAAAAATATAATGGTTTGTTCATCCATTAGTCTTTAATATATTTTGGTTTATACCCGATGTAAAAAGATATGGGGATGATTGTGGAGTGACGACTTAACTCTTACCTTATTTTTTACAGCTTTACGGCATTAAGTTCTGCAGTGTGTGCCAACTTGTTGACCCAAATATTGGCACAGGTCCTTGAGCACTCAACAACTTGTTGGGTCATCGCCATCGCTTCTGCCCAATGAGCAAACTATTTTCACTGGGCAATGGACACGGAACTTGCAGCCGGGCAGCTGCTCTCGACTTGCGCTAAGCACATCATTATGTTGGCTCAACTTTCCGATCATTTTTAATTACCCACCCGCACAACCCATCCGATTTTCTCGTCTCTGCCTCTGCTTTCACTACCCTTATTTTTTTGTTTGCCATTAATTCCTTTAATGGAATGCTGCATTAATAAAAAATACGTTATGAGCGCATAATAGAAATAAAAGCTAATGTAATTACATGCCGCACTTGTTTCGCCTTGTTGCAGTGCAAAAGTACGAGAATTTCCCACTCCCAGGCTGCAAACGAAAATCCTGAAAATTTAATTCCACCAGTAGGAACCAGTTGAGCGTTAAAAGGTGAATAGAGAAGCGGGTATATGGGCATTATGAAGAGGTGTTCTAAAATGTTCCATGTTAAACAATGGAGCAAGCGGAGATAAAAATGTAGAGAACTTAATTACTATACTCGGACGCTTAATGAAGTCAACTGAATTAAATGCTAAGAAGCGTAAATGACAATGCATTTTGTAGTACAAAATTAAAAATAAGACCGCAATGGGAGGGTACTGAGATACTTGCAAGGTTTTTATTAACTGAGACTACAAGACAGTATGAACACTCCCCCTCTTATATTTTAAAATCGACTAGTATCTGAATAAATCCCTTATTATAAGCTTACTTGTCGCCTACTTAAACGTTTTTCCAATCAAACTCAGAGGGTACGAAATGCTTTGAGTTTCCTGCACCACTTTCCAGTTTCTTGAAATCGTTTTCTTTATATTTTTTCTTATTTATTTTTCTATTTTTTTTAGCATGTTGCTGACTGCTGTTGGGTGCTTAAAAGCTTTGCATTAACTATTAAACGCAGCTTGAATCGCATAACGGCACTTGGCACACAAAGAGGGCGAATTTAGGGGGTGGCAGGGAAATGGAAATAAAAATTGGTGTCAGGAAAAGTGGCCGCGGGGCTCAAAGGGGGAAAATGGCTCGGAAAAGTGGTGTGCAGGCCAACAATTGTATTCAAATTATGGCTATAGGCGGAAAAACATTTACGTTTATTGTTAAGTGATTGGCGCCAATAAATTTGAAGCCAACCAAAGCTAGGTAAACAAATACACGATTAAAATGAACGCGCAAGTACACAGAAAAAAAAATTTGATTCTAAGCAATGATTTGAAATATCGTTTATTTCGATAATAAAAATTCTATCATGTAGAATTATTTTATAGCACAGGTATCATAGCTGTTTTTTATTACTTCCTACTTCATATTTTAATCATAATTCTGGATTTGCCACACTTTTTATTTTCTAATCACCAAAAGTTCCCATGTGACTTGAATTTTAATTTGCAAATGTATAATTTACTTTTTAGTCGAGTGTACCGAAACTGTAGGTTTTCCGCTAAATAAATTTTTATTTATTCTATTGCTTCTCCGCTTGCTCTCTACGCCCCTGTTTTTTGCTCTTTCAGCTTGAGCGCAGCACGCGAGGTGTGCTAAAAAATTCATAGAGCATGGGTGGCTGCTGGGCAAAAAGAAAGGGGGATGCTGCGGGTGATGTTGTGCTGCTGGAAATTCCTGGGCCAAAGGAGTTGAGAGTTTGAAGCTGTTAGCCTGACAGGTTGCAATGCTATAAAATGCAATCAGCTGCAAAGAAAATAGGTTTTGCTTCACCAAACAGACAAACTGCGGAGGGTTTTCGGGGGGGAAAAAGGGTAAAACGGGTGGAAAACAGTAGAGTGCATCCAGAGGAGCTGTTTCTACTGTTGCTGGATGGCATAAATTAAAGCGCAACAAGACCAAACAGACGCAGGGCATATTTGCCAACACACGGGCACAAACTGCAGATGGGGAAAATGTACATGGCGGTAAAGGGGGTGGAAAAAGCGGAGTATCATCAGGTTTATACAGACAAACAGATTGTGGGCTGACTGCGGACATTCAGTGGAATTGCCACAGGAGAAGAAAAGACACAATGAGAATGCTTCAAAGCGCTGACAACTTTCTCGCTAAATCTGCTTTTCCATATTCCTGGGTAAATTCCCCATCCTTATTTTCTCCTCGCGGCGCAGCCAAGTTTAATTGCCCGCTGTCGCTTAGCTAGACAAATGCAAATTGGCCAAACGAAACGTTAGACAGCCGGTTAAATGGAAACACATAATTACGAGCACGTCCTTCACAGCAGTTGGTTCCCTTTTGCTGCTAAATTCAATTTAGTCATAATTATACAATTTCTTTGGAGTCTTTGAGGTGTCGGTTATGTGTAATTTCTGATGGTAACTGAATGAATGAATAGCATGCATCCGCAGTGTGAGAAATGAATTAAGTGGCGCCCAACGTGGGACCTCCTGAAGTCCCACGTTGGGCGCCACTTTTTAGTAAAAGCTTTTGTTAATAGTCCAAATTGATAAATTTATTAAAAATATTTGTTGAGATAATGTAATAACCTTAACTTTTAATTGTTTCCAGTTACCTTCTGATGAAACACTTCATCTCTTCTTTGCCATTTTCAATCATTTAAACTCAATCAATCCATTAAGTAATATAATAATAAGCAATATAATAGTAATATATGGTTACCTAAAAAACCGAACTGCTTCCCAAAAATCCAGGATAGCTATTCAATTTCAGGTCCGTCAGTGGCTTTGATGGACCAAAAATTGAAGGGGAAGTTAGTAAGCCAAAAACCCATCCACGCCCGCACTCCGCCCAATTACATTGCCCTCGTCACCCTTCGAAAATTCCTCTGCAATGTGAATTTGAATTGCAATTGCGAATGGCCGCGTGCTGGAAATTAAATAAAACACTCGCAGCGAAAGGATGTTAGGATGGGAGTATCCGCAGATACAAACTTTGTCATAGGGAAAGTTTTTCGCTGCACACTGAACCAAAATGAAAACGTAGCCGA